ATCAATGACTCTCATCATTGATGTTTCTATCTCTCTCTCTCCCTGTCCCTTCCTCTCTCTGAAATCAATCAATACATATTTAAAAAACAACAAAAAAACCCTAGTGTTCACATTTATAAAATGGGGATAATGTTATTTGGTGATTAAAAGGTCATTGATGACCTTGAGAATGGGTTTTCAGGATTGTGGGATTAAAAAGTAGATTATAAGAGCTTGATTTTACTATATTTTTAATCCTAATGCACTTTAAGAAGCGTAGTAGAAAAGTGACATTGAGACACTGTAAAGAAAGATTTTTATAGATATGAAAATACATTTTCTTGAGAGAGGCTTACAGTTATATTTTTAAAATCACATTATTGGGAGTGGTCTACAAAAGTATAAACCTGTTAAATCAAAACTACACTTGCCTGTTGAAAGCATATTTCTCATAATGTTTGCTATATTTTTGTTAAAGTAAACTAAATAGTAAAGAAGTGCTTTTAAACATGTTTAGCAGTTCATGTTTTTAAATGTTATTTTCAGAAATAAGTCTACATCTTGATTCCAAGTTTTTCTTAGAAAAATTACCTAAGTGTAAGTTATTTATGCTGATTTTTTACTTCTATAAGACTCTCCTGAAAAAACTACGCTGGCTGCAAAGTTATCTGCTAAGAAACAGGCATCTGTAAACAGAGATGAAAATGATGATTTTCAAGTAGAGAAGAAAAGAATTCGATCCTTAGAAACTACACAGCAGGTAAACAAGAGTTGATTGGCAGTGAAATAATCCCATTAGTTATAGCTGAACAAGGCCATCAGGTATCAATCTAGTTTTCAGTGACACTTGTGGAAATCAGTTGGGTCATAGATGTAAATTAAATGGTAAATTATTGCAACTTAATTTTATGTAGCTACTCATTACAAAGGAGTTTATTATAAAAGATTATTTACAGTAACATGTCATTAAAGTGAAACTGCGTGGTGCTTTCTTATATACAAGGAATTTGATAGTAAAATATTTACTTAAGGCATATATTAATAATATAGCTACTTTGTACTTTCTAACTCCTCTGTTGTTTTAATCTAATAATGGCATATTTTTTTTGCCAAAATACCTTTGATTTGAATATTTATGTTATGGATATTTTTGGTATTGATAGTTTTAGAATATCTACAAGTTTTACTCTTATTTATTGAGTTAATATCAGTATGATAAAATGTTTATTTCTAAAAACGATTGAAAGACCTAAATTACTGGATATTTTAAATGACACTTTTCATAGACGAATGCCATGTTTTCTCATAGAGTTCATGGCAGTGAGATGGGGAGGCTGGGACTTTAACAGACTTAGTTAAAATAAAAAGATGATAATTAGCATGTCATTTTTGTGGAATTGTATATTTTTAATTGAATATATTAAAAAAGTGTTTGCATTCTTGTGTAGTTTATCTTTTTACTTATAATCTTTAACTTTCATAATTAAACCACTTTTAGAAATAGAATGAACTAGTTTATCTCTGGAAAAACACCAATTATAAATGAAGCATGAATATTTAGAAATTTTTTCCTCCCAAAAATGTGTACATAGAGATGGGTGTTGTGAGGTAGGCCTCAACATGTAACATTCATTCCCTGACTTCATTGGGTCTCATTTCTTTTTTGGTAGGAATGGGATCATCAATAGAAATGCCACCCTCCCCTTAAAATTTAAATAAATAGGGTTTTGGCAAGTAGGAAAAAACATAGACAGTTTGGAAAGAAAACTTAGTGGTATTTATGAAAGAAATTTAGTCAAATACAATTTGGATTATCAACTATCTAGTAATAGTAATAATAGTAATTTATTCTGTCATATAGGAAATAATGAATATTTACATTTAAAATTTTAATCTGTGTCTTAATTTAGTATGAGGTTTCTATTTTATTTGCTTTTGCTTTCCAATTAGATATGTAATTTGGACTTTGCTATAATACTATACTTGGTGTTCATATGGTGGAACTATTTTATGGGAAGATCATTTTTTAATACTATAGTTTTGACATATCACTAATTAAAGCTATTTTGGTTAGGATTTAAAGGTATTACTGTATTCTATTTTATTTAAGTCTTGTAATAAGTTGCCTGTTTGTTTTTAAAAATTATTTGATTATTGCCAGTTAGAAATAGTCATTTTTTTAAATGCTGAAAACACATTATAGTTATTTTGACCTTTGGGAACAACTAGCCTGCTCAAACTTTTTTCTTCCTTTTTATTGAATTTATTGGGGTGACACTGGTTAACAAAACTATACAGGGTGAGGCAAAAGTAGCTTTACAGCTGTGAGTACACAAAACACAGTTTATTCTTATATTATTATTTATTAGTTATTGTATTATTTTCCATATGAACAACTGTAAACCTACTTTTGCCCCACCCTGTATAGGTTTCAGATGCACAATTCCACAACACATCATCTGTACATTGCATTATGTGTTCACCACCCCAAGTCAAATCTCCTTCCCTCACCATTTATCCCCTACCTACCCCTAGCCTGCTCAAACTTTTAGTGTACTTTAAACTTTATTTTGGTTTTATGTTTACAGATTAGGAAACGTCATTGTTTTGAAAAGGAACTACACCATTTGGATGCAAAAGATGCTTCAGGAAAGACCACAAAACTCAACTCTCCATTAAGAAAGAGAAACTCCTTTTCTTCACAAAATGTATGTATTTATGCCATTGTTCAGTTTAAAGAAGGAGAATGAAATTTGCTAAATACATGTTTGGAAAAAGAGGAAGAATAGTGTAAAATACAAAGAACAGTAGAAAACAACTCAGAAGTCCTAAGTGCTGTCACATCTCATCTATTAATGTAGGAGATGGTAAACTCTACCCTCTTTGTGCTCTGGTTTCATCATTTATCAAATGAAAGAATGGGACTAGAAAGAGATCTGAAAGTTTTTTGCCTCTTCAATATTCTAATGTTTGTGAACTCCACTTCCCTAAAGTTCTTTCAGTGTCCTTAGAGCAGCAGTTTTCAAGAAGTAGCAGTCAGGCAGCATAACAGTACTGTTTGTATTCATCCATCCACAATTCAGTTGTCTGCTTAGTGTTCCTGGGGGGACAGTGGGTGTCAGGGAGGGGCTATCTCACTGCCCACCATCCCAGGGCCCTGGCCGCCTTTGAGGATGACACAGGTTATGACAGTAGAGTCAGAGTGCTCTGGAGGGAAGGTGCATCATCAGGTCATGGAGCTCTGGAGATTCTTGAGATTTTTTTCAGGTGCTCTGTGAGGCCAGAAGTATTTTCATAGTAATATTAAGATATTATTTGCCTTTTTTTACTGTCTTGACATTTGCACTGATGCAGAAGTAATGTTGGGTAAAGCTGTTGGTGCCTTAGCACAATCAAGATAGTGGCACCAACCTGTACTAATAGTAATTTTCTTCGCCATCATTAATATACAGTTTAAAAAAGCCAGTTTTACTTAAGAATATCCTTGATGGAGCAGTAAAAATTACTGTTTATCAAATCTCAGTGCTTGAGATTTTTAACATTCTATGTGAAGAAATGAGTGGTACTCGTAAAACACTTTTGTCTCCAGGAGTAGAATGGTTGTCTTGAGGAAAAGCACTGGTAGGATAGTTTGGGTTGTGAGCTGTACTAGCCACTTTTTTTCACAGAACATCATTTTTACTTGAAAGAAAGACTGACAGACTATGGTAATTCTTTTTTTTAAATAGCTACAGTAATTTTATTTATTACTCTTTTTCTGTTTTTTATTTCTTTTTTTCCTTTTTTAAAAATTATTTTTATTTTTCACTTACAGTTGACATACAATATTATATCAGTTTCAGGTGTACAACCCAGTGATTAGACATTTATGTAACTTATGAAGTGTTCACCCCGGTAAATTTAGTACCCATCTGACACCATAGAGGGACTGTTCTTGCCTCATTGTATAACAGTTCTTAATCTTTGCAGAGTGGTATATTATAAATCACAAAAATATTTTCTGTTAATTCTGGAATAGGTGATTTCATAAAGAAATGGAAGAAAAATAAGTTTCATGAGATTTAAATTTATTTTATAGCAGCTTCTGAAATTAGTGTCACCAAAATTCTTCAAGTAATTTAAAAAATGCAGTCTATATTTTGAAACTTTTCTTATGTTGACAGATCATATGTTTCACATTTTATGTATCAGATTTTAATCTAGATCATCGAAAGATCTTAAGGTAATTTGAGGGACTTGGACAAGTAACATTTCTTTTTAGAACCTGTTCCTTCAAATGGGAGGAAAAGATGGTGGGACTGGATTTAATATACCTAATATTTCATTTAGATCTAACATCTCTATATTCCAAGGATGCTTTTCCTGGTTTGTTTCTTATAAGATGCTATTAGGGAAGACAGTATTTATTTTTTAAAAGAATGGTTATTTGGATTAATAAATAATGGGTTTGTTCTCTTATCTCTACAAAGATATAAATGTTATAGTCTTTATACATTTGAAATCTACAGTTGTATTGTTTTTTGAAAAAATGTCCTCCATAAATTAAATGGCAAATTAGTTTCATGATTTTTGTTTTCCTCTAAATTTGACATGAAACTTTTTAGGTTTTTCTTTCAAATTTTCTTGTTTTTATTAAAATAATTTGGTTTCCAACCTGTGGATTGGAGAATTAGATAGCTATCTTTTTACCTTCCTATCATTTCCAGTCTCCTCACTGTCTCCTCAAGTCAGAAAATGGTGTCAATACCTCCTCTCTTATTTGAATTACCTTCCATTGCCCACTGCAATGGACATTTAGATTCCTTTTTTGTACTGATAATTTATATGTTGAAGAATTAGTGAGGCATCAGTCTCCATGTGGTCAAAATATAGTTAAGAAAAACATTGTTTTTAAAAATAGAACATTATCTTTCTTATATTACTTTGTTCCACTATTTATAATCATTTTCTCTAGAATTTATTTGTATTCTCTTCATTCTTTTAGTAAATCATCACAATGGGTGAGGTGTTTTCACAGATACATTATTATGCTTATATTTACTTTTTATTTGTTTGTTAAATAAATGCTAACATTGTCTTTATACGTTTAAAAAGTGGTGATTTTTTTGGTTTTGTGTAGCGGTAGCATATATTATTCTAATTTATTACTTTTGCCTAATGTGTAGAAAAGAAATGGGTCCAGCAGAGAGCGCTGTTGACCTTCAGATAAAGTGGTGTTGGGCAAAATCTGGGGCTTTTTTCTCCCCTCCTTTTGCATCTTAATCCCTGCCTTTTCTTTCTTTTTTCTGACTCTGACTCTGACTCTGTCTCTATCTCTGTCTTTCTCTTCCACACCCCCTCTTCCCTCCCTCCCT